GAGAAGCAGGCTCCCTGCAGAGCAGAGAGCCCGATGCGGGGCTCTATCCCAGGACACTGAGATCATGACCTGAGCCGAAGGCAGAGGCTTTAACCCACTGAGCCACCCAGGTGCCCCTGAGACATCATTTTTGAGACTCCCCACTCTTCCAGCATTTTGGGGCTCTCCTAGGAAGGTGCTCCAGCATTAAAGTAGCACCTGGAGGGGCTGCTGCCCCGTGTTGGATACCTTCTCCGGCACACACCAGAATACCTCCCTCTTTCCTGTCTCTGCCCCGGTAGATTGTCCCATTGCTAGCTTTCACTATTATCTGTCAATGTCTCTCTTTCTCCTATAATGCTGTCAGCTCTTTGGTAGCAGATGCCATGTCTTCTCTTTGTATCTCTGGGCCCTACATCATACCTGACATGAAGTAGGTACTCAATAAATATCTGTTAGAGTGAATTGAAATGAAAATTAGTTTGGCTTAATGCAGTTTGGTGTGTTTGATAGCCAAGACGCAATAACTCTGCAAGTTTAGCCTAAACTGACAGCCCTTGGACAATACTGTGTGTATAGCTTTAGCCTGGATTGCAAGTATTTTGTTCTCTTTTATGTCCAGATGTGGGACTTTTCTCTTACCCATATTCTACCTAATCCTCTAAAATTTAATTAACAATAGCAAGCATTTAAACTTTTTGTGAATCTTAGTCTGCCAGTCGAGTGGACCCTCTTTCACAGATGTAGGCTTTCTGCAAGCGTGGTTAGCATATGCTACAGATCTCGCTGAGTTTCTGATAGAAATATGGGACAGACCAGAGATAATGTCAGAATCTTGTGACTTACACTGAAGGTCTCCATCTAAGGAGATCCTGGTTATTATTCACCACTCTTTTTTGTATTTGCCACAAATCCAAATTCTTGTATCTTGTACATAAGGAGATTCTGAAAGATTTTGATTAATGTCTTTGTTAAAATAAAGATGTGATGTGTCTGTCACATTCCGTTCTATTAAAATGTGAGGTTAATCTGCTAAACCCCCTTTTTGTGAACCCATAAAAGAATCAGAGATTCTCTTTCCACTGCTCACAAATAACGTTTTGTTATTATTTCCTCTCAAGCTCACTTGTCCATAGTTTGGAGAGCTCACTCTCTATCTCTTTAGGTATTTGGGAGACTCTAGTAATTTTAGATTCTCATTCATTTCTCAGGGCTTAGATTCGCCAGTATCTAGTACTGTGTGAGGGCCTTTCAGTTACCTTAATTAGCACTGCAGTCGTTCCCCATTCAGTAATTTATTTTTATATTTTGATATCCAATTGAATTCACTTAAAACACCAGGCATTTTGTTCTAACCGGTTTTCAGGAATATTAATCTGATGACAGCTATACTTGTGAATATAGCATAATGTATAAACTTGTCAAATCACTTAATTGTACACTTGGAACTAATGTAACATTGTGTGTCAACTCTATTCAAATACCCCCCCCCCCCCCCCCCGCAGTACTCTATATAGATAACTCCTGCACATTTTCAGATAGGATACATATGGACCACAAATGGGACTCATTTTGTATCATTTTTGGAAGGGGAAAGTACCTCAAAAAGTGTGGCAATATACTAGCAACACTTTTAATGATGCTTTTTTACTTTTCAAATGGTTGAATAACAAATATTTTGGAAGAAATAACAAGTATTTTGTTCTCTCTTTAAAGGCAGTGCTGTTAATTTGTAATCCAAAATGATGATCTAAAGTGTAGTATCTGTGAAATCAGTCAAATACATTCCTTAATGTAAGATGCATCTTGTATGTTAAAAAGGCAAGTCCTATTCTTCTACTTACACTCAGTGCTTCTGACACCAGATGTATAGGGTTTTTATTTTTTAGTGATCAGTTCTCAGTGTCCTACATTATCTGGGTGTCCTGTTTAACTCTTTCTGGAATTAGCACCAGATCCCCCAGGTCAAAGGCCCATTTCTACAAGACTGACCCCACTTCAATTCTTTTTTTTTAAGATTTTATTTATTTATTTAATAGAGAGAGAGAACGGGAGAGAGAGGAGTGGGAGAGAGAGCACAAGCTGGGGGAACAGCAGAGGCAGAGGGAGAAGCAGGCTCCCCACTGAGCAGGGAGCCCGATGTGGGACTTGATCCCAGGATCCTGGGATCATGACCTGAGCCAAAGGCAGCCGCTTCACCGACTGAGCCACCCAGGTGCCCCGACTAACCCACTTCAGACGCTGGTTGCAAGTAGTGGGTCCCTAGCTTACTGCACTTCTGTCCAGCTTAGTTGCAAATCAGGAGTTCTCATGATGTCCTCCTCAGATTCAGTAATTTGCTCTAATGGCTCACAGAAGTCAAGGAAGCACTTATTTAACGTTTACTGATTTGTTATAGAATGAAGGGTATGACGCAAGATATAGATGAACAGCCAGTTGAAGAGATCCTTACGGTGAGGTCTGGAAGGCCCCAAGCTCAGGAGCTTCTGTCCCGTGGAGCTGCAGTGTGCCGTCTGCCCAGCTTGGAGATGTGTTCACCAACTTGGAAGTTTTCCAGACCCTGTGGTTCAGGGAGTTTCTATGGAGGCTTCATCAAGTAGGCATCACTGATAATGACCTCCATCTCTGGCCTCCTCCAATACCTGGAGGATAGAGGAGGGAAGGGGCTAAAAGTTCCGAGCTTCTAATCATAACTTGATCTTTCGGGAGAGCAGCCCACATCCAGAAGCCATCCAGGAGCCCACCAAGAGTCACCTTCTTAGAAAAAAGATAATCCAACCACTTGGGGAGTTCTGAGGGATTTAGGAGTTCTGTGTCAGGAACCAGCGCCAAAGACCAAATACTAGAACAAAAGATTGTCCTAGGACCTTTATGACTGAAGAAATTACAGAGGTTTTAGAGTCTCTGCCAGGAGTTGGGATAAAGACCGAAATATGTATTTCTTATTATATCACAATGTTACATTTGTCTATCTATGTCTGTATATCTGTATCTGTATCTATATCTATCTGTATCTCTATCTTTGAACAGTTTTCTGGTTTTTTCCTTATGGAAAATTCCTGGAAGTGGAATTTTTGGTCAATGTTTATGTACTTCTTAAAGCCTTTTGGTACACATTGATAAGCTTGAGACCTTCCCTCTTGGACACTCACCAGCTGTTTGTAAGATTGCCTCTTTTGTCTCATTGTCATGGGTGTGAATGAACTTGGAATGAATGGCTTAGTTGGTCTGGAAAGCTTAGCCTGATGGAGTAGATACTGATGTAAAACCAGCTCATGTGGGTGGGCTCTCTGGGAATTGCGCCTAAGTTCTTCAAGGATAGGGACCTGGTCTTGCCCTTCTCACAGCTCCCCCATCCCGATCTTGGTGATTTTCAGCAGCTTGCTCACCGCAGGTGGGTCCTCTTGTACTGGAATGGGATGTCTTCTTTCTTTTTTAGCCGGATCTGCCCACCCCCTAGTTCATGGCCCATTGTTCTAGATGGGGTGTTTCACACCATGCTTCCATCTTCAGGACTCTGGGGGGTGTGCACAGACTTGTGGGTTGGCCATCATACAGCTCGCTGGAATCTTGCTTTGGAGCCCTGAAGTCAGGTTCCACAAAGCAATTCATTTTTCTAGGCTTGATTACTTCAGTGGGAATGAAGATGGAGTCAGTAACTATGACATTTATATTCATGTGTCCAAATAAAACTTGAGATGTTTAAAATTCTGTAGGTTAAATTCGTGCACGACTCAAGTCAAGTATTTAGAATATGCTTATGCCATCGCTAAAGTTGACTTTTGCATTTTCAATTGTTTTGGCTAAGAGAAGGTGTTTCTTTAAGAGAAGCAGATCTAGGGATTACTGTTTCAGTGAAACGAGCTGGAGTATAGACAACTACAGACAGTCCCATTTAGGGTGCTCCCTATACAACTATATTTTTGCTAACCCCGCAGAATCAATTAGGGACATTATGTCCTGTTATTAAATTTAAGGCAACCTTAAGTCTGTCTGTTCTGCATTTCTATCTCAGGAAAGTATTTTTTAAGATGTTGAACAATAAATTTGTCCCCTCTCCTTTTTTTTTTTTTTTTTTTTTTCTCTTTTCTTTTTTCTTTTTAGAGGGAGTGGGAGAGAGGGTGCGAGCATGCAAATGGGGTTGGGGTGCAGAGGGAAAGGGAGAGAGAGAGAGAGAGAATCTTAAGCATAGAGACCCTGCAGGGGCAGGATCTCACCACCCTGAGATCATGACCTGAGCTAAAACGAAGAGTTGGGCACTTTAACCGACGGAGCCATCCCGGTGCCCCATGAGTTTCCCTTCTTTCTGTGATTGACTTTAGTTTCTTCGTCATAATCTTAGAATTCAAATTTTGAGGTCTGTGGGAATTTAAGTTAGAAAACATTTAATACAGATTCTGAAACGATGTGCTTTTGCTCATCCTTTTAATTTCAGCTGCAGCTGGTAATAGCATCTTCAGATGCCCCGAAGATCCTTTGTGGAGTGGTAATTAACAATCATTCCAGGTGCATAATCTGGAAATTTGGTTCTTGGGGGGCACTGCGGGTGAGAGAACACGTTCATGCTTGGTTTGTCCGAACTGTGACTGCAGTCACAGTCTTGTGGCTTTTTTCTCCTCTCCAGTGGTTGTGGCTCTGACCCATAGCACTGTGGACTAGTCTTTGAAGCTCAGCTCTTTGGGAAGAGCCGGCAGTGATAGCAAGAGTATCATGGGGTTGTTCGCATGAGCCATGGACTAAAGGGAAAACAGGTTCAGCACCTCTTTGCCTGCCTTGTCAGTGAGGCCAACAGAGTTCTCTGAAATAAAATTACAGTGCATTTGCAATGGTTTCTGCAGATAGGAACATCCTGAGATGGGGAAAAATGATACTCCCACATCTAGAGTAACCTGATGTTGGGAGTCATTTAAAAAGAATCGATTGAACAGCTTATCTTTCAAAATGATTGATTCCCTCCTCTCTCCTTGTGCTTCTGTTCTGTATGTAGCTGATTCGGCTTCTGTTTCTGTCTTTTTGTACAGGCTGAACATATTTTTGACTGGCATGAACCCATTCTACTTTCATGCGGTGAATGTGGTTTTACACTGTCTCGTGACTCTCGTCCTGATGTACACCTGTGACAAAGCTGTCTTCAGGAACCGGGGACTGGCTTTTGCTACAGCGTTGCTTTTTGCTGTGCACCCTGTCCACACAGAGGCGGTGAGTATCACTGTAGCTCCGTGAAACAAGGAACTAAAAAAAAAAAAAAGCCGAACTGATCTTTTTTCCCCCTTTCAAAACCACGTGAATTCAAAGCTCCACTGAAGTGTTTATCTTTATATATAAATCATTCTGCTTGACAACTTGTCTTTTTGAATGTTCACATGGCCTTCACACTTTAACTGGCTTTTCCAAATAACCTATTATTATTATGTGTCGTTATAAACGGCCACAGTTCTTTATTTGAAGAAAATTCAATTTCTAATGTGTTTTAAACAGCACAGGGCATTTTGAGGTACTTACTGTGCTGAGGCATTGTTCCTGCTCTACTTTTGAATTTTAAATTTTCTCTCTCTGCTTTCTGTTTATAATATTTATGATGCTGAACAGTGAGTGCGAGGGGAGGGCTAAAGAGTTAGACTGACATTCTTCAGATTAGAAAGACAGAGTTGCAATAGGGACTTAGAAATAGGTTTTCAGGTTATTTCGTGTGAAGTGTAGTTACTTGGTAGGTGATGCAAAATTTATTTAAAAAGTATAGATAGTTCAGATCTGTTTGGTCCTCTTTGAAATATGGACTTGATCATGCACTGAGAAGGCATTATCAAGTTACTTTGTTTCATGGCTTAAGAACCACAGTTGTTTTATTGTGTCCATATTGCTAGGGGTAGACAAAGACTTTCCAAGGGGTTCCTGAGCCCCATGGCTTTAAAAGAATCATTTCCAGAGCCTTAGCTTGCATCTGGACACTTGCCTATAGTTTGTCTGTCTGAGAACACACTAGGGGTCAAGGTGTCAAATTGGTTCTCCTCACCCTTCCTCCCCTTTCAGTTGTCGTCTCATTGAAAAATAAAAATGAATGTCTCACCTACATCAGAATTTTACTCTGCCCCAGGTGTCCACATCTTTGAGGTACTGTATAAAGAAAAAATTTAATATATTGGTGTCAGCAAAGTCTCCTTCAATTGAGGCATCAGAGATCTGGAGTGGGGCTTCATATCGCTGTCTGTCTTCCACATATTTCTGTGAGGAACAGAACGTGGCAATAAAAGTGGGGTATGGTGGCCTGTTTTGATCTTCTTAATTCAGAAGTGAGATGGTTGTCATGGGGCTGCTTCATAATATGTTCATTTGAGCCGACACAAGAAGCCTGATTTGGCCAACTGGTGTTGTAATGACTGTTTTTGCCAGTTAGGCTACATGATGGACATTTTCCACAAACAATATTGTATATCTGTAAGCCCAAGGTTTTGACACAAATATATTTGGAGTGAGAGACAAAAAAAATGAATTTATAAAAAAATTATATTACTTAAGGTAAATTTTCCAGCCCTTTCTTGAGTATCTTAAATAGAAAAGCTCCCTCTAAGTGGAAGGCTATAAATAATAGTCCTTTGGAAAGTCTCGGTGAAGCCATTTTTGTTGTAGTGCTGAGAAACCATGAAAGCGAATGACTCTAATGATAGGTAACTCTCATGATGGCTATGGTGAAATTATTTGCTTCCAACCAAATTAAAGGAGAATCTGATTGAGTGTCAGCTGGTAGATCATTAAGCATTATGTAATATGATAGATTACTATGATTTTGTCAATGACCTTAGTGTTCAAAGAATTAAGTCACTGCTGTAACATAGCTATTTCTGTCTCATTTATGCAAACATTTCTTTAAAGATGAAAGCTAGGAATGGAACTGATACTATATGCATTCTTATTCTAACCTAAAGTAATATTCAGTCAATAATTGCACTTATAGAAAAGAAACATGGGACATCTGAGTGGCTCAGTCCATTAAGTGGCCAGCTTTTGATTTCAGCTCAGGTCATGATCTCAGGGTCGTGGGATTGAGCCCCACATCAAGCCTCTGTGTTGGGTGGGGAGTCTGTTTGAGAGTCTCTCTCTCCCTCTGCCTGTCCTGCTCATGTTCTCTTTCTCGGATAAATAAATCTTAAAAAGAAAAAAGAAAAACCTGCTATACCTGTTATTAAGAAGTGTGTTTTTATATCTAAGAGCTAGTTATAATTTTTATTTTTATTTTTTTTAAAGATTATATTTACTTATCTGACAGAGATCACAGGTAGGCAGAGAGGCAGGCAGAGAGAGAGGAGGAAGCATGCTCCCCGCTGAGCAGAGAGCCCGATGCGGGGCTTGATCCCAGGACCCTGGGATCATGACCCGAGCTGAAGGCAGAGGCTTTAACCCACTGAGCCACCCAGACACCCCGTAGTTATAATTTTTTCTAATTTATGATGTATTGAGTAATTGTGTATTAATTCTAAGTGGTAACTTAATGATGTAATGTATTTTTATTACAGAGAGAGAAGATGATAAGTAGAATATTTTTAAGCATAACTATACAATACATTAAGAAACAATGCTCAGAGGGAAATAAAATAGAAATAAGAGTTCAAGGGGAATGGGTGTGAAATGTCTGTCGTTTAAAGAAGAGCCTGTTCATGTTTGTGTAAATGGAAAATAATGAGCTTCAAATTGTGGTGGCACATTTCAGATTCCATTTGGTACATTTAAAACAGTAATATTACGGCCTTATTTTTAAAATGTCAGTATTTACAATGCATGGGAAGTTAGATCCCTTCAAGTATGTAAAATTATGATGAAAAAATTTTAGATACAAATTTTAAAAGATGAGATACCCAAGTTTTTAATATTCTTTTTGGATGTCACCTGAAGAGAAATAATCAAGGACTACTACTCCTAGCCATATGGAATATAGGACACCGGGTCAAAGTACAGTGGAAAATATATGGTTGGAGTGTCTTGGGGAAAATTTTTGCAGGAAAGAATAAAGGATAGAACAATAACAGTCTTAATTCTATGCTTGCAGAGAGGGAGTCCAGGTAACCATGGACAGTGGGATCATGAGCTGGTAGTTTGGTCGAATTCTAAGAAAAAGGAAAAACATCCTGTTAGCAAGGTGACCTTTAAGAAAAGGTTTCAGCAAGCTAATAATAATAATAATAATAAATCCATGGTAGCACAATTATAGGGACAAAAGAGGCTGAGAGCTGGATGTTTGGGGAAAAATTTTACAGAAACTATTTGCATTCACAAGGAAATGAGATCTGCAAGAAGGAGGTGAAGAAATTTGACTTAACATAACAATATATACTAGGAAGTAAAATTAGGAGACTGTTATTCAATTATAGGTATTAGTTTAGGTTTCTAAGGAAGAAGACAGAGAAATAGGAAAAAAACATTGTGTTATAGAAGACTTAGTGTGATAAATTAATAAAAAAAAAAAGAAAAATAGATCACAGTGTGGCTGGAGAGGGAGTCAGGGGGATTTATTTCCCCTTTGATAAATAAGAACAAAATCAGGACCTCAAGTAATCCCAGGAAGGATGGAGGATTAACATTTTTTGAGGGAGGGGTTTTGTTTCAACATGTTGGTGTGATTAAGGATTTGTTTCCTTAATTATGTAATCAACATATAGTAAATGAATTCTTGCTTGGTGTAGGCACTGCTAGGTGCCCGGAGGGTATGTGGGTAGGTAGTGGGTCCCTACCCATAATTTGTTCACAAATTCCTAAAAAAACCAAAGAACATATACATAAATACATACAAGACAAAGCAGTATGTTGTGTAATAAAAAACTATCTCCAATTTAAGTATAAGGAATAAATTCATTTTTTAACTCAATCTTTCAACAAATATTTAAGTGCAGGAGGTATTAGCAATGACTAGGATAGACCCATACCTTTCCTCATTGAAGGCCTTGCGATTCTTCAAAGGGTTTTCTGACAGTATATTTTTTTGGAGAGCTGAATCATCAGAAAAATAAGTAGAGAAATTGGGAAAACTTGAAAAATCATTGTAATTCCCTGGTGGTAATTGAAACTTAGCAGTCATCATAGAAACACTATTGGTTGGAAGGAAGGCACTTATGTCAAGTCAAAAGCGAGAGCAGGAAATGCCGACACACGGCGTTGAAGGCTAAGGTCAGCATTTCCAGAACACATGTAAGATGAAGAGCACACGTAAGAGAGAATCAGTCCTGATCTAATCAGTCAGCCTGGCTTTGTTTGTTTTTAAAGATATTAATTATTTATTTGATAGAGAGAGATCACAAGTAGGCAGAGAGGCAGGCAGAGAGAGAGGGGGAAGCAGGCTCCCTCCTCAGCAGAGAGCCCGATGCGGGGCTCGATCCCAGGACCCTGAGATCATGACCTGAGCCAAAGGCAGAGGCTTAACCCACTGAGCAACCCAGTGTCCCCAGCTGTTGCATGTTAAGTGTGTGTTTCCTGGCCCTGTCTGGCAGTAATGGACTAGAATTCGTGCAGCTAGAACAATCAATAACTTGATATATATGGTATACTTTATATAAAGCCTATGAATGGTATGCTAAGAAATAAAAAGTTTTGGGGGCAAATTAAATTAATTGGTATTTCTGTTACTCTTGCTCGGACTTAGATCTGATTGTTTGAATTCTACCCAATGATGTTCACTCATTTTTTTTCCATCATTTGGGTATGTGTTACAGGATTCAGTTCCCAGGTAACAACTACCTTCTTGGTGAGGAAAACCTGCAGCTTGAGGCAGAGTCCGTGCTATCCATCTGCATGTACTTTTGGCTAAGTCCTTTGTACTTCTCAGCATCCTACAGTTCAGCTCCCTTTGTCGGTAGAATCAAGCCCAGGACCTCCAACTGAACATCCATATTTGTTCACTCCAGTCCCCTCTAATGTGCTTACTCCATGCTCTCATCACTTAATGCCTTCCCTTCTAGAAACATCTCATGTGTTTTCAGACTGTGCTTTCCTTTGCCTAGAATGCTTCTGTGGTCCTTCTCCGCCCCGGATTTGCATCCCCTGACTTGAGCTTGCTGAGTCCTTCTTGTTTGTCCTTTAGGTTTTAGTGTATAATGTCAACCTTTCCATGAAGGCCTCCAGCTTCTGCAGTCAAAATCAGTCCCTCCATTCTTCTCATGGCAATGATTTCTCCTCTTTATGATACACACAGTTTGCTTGTATCATATTAATACCCTGCTTTGACTCCCCACCAGGTGTTAAACTCCTTGAGGCTTAGGTCATATCCCTCCAGCTGGCATAGTACCTGGCAAGTAGGAGGCCCTTGGAAAATGTTTGTGGAGTGGAATAAATCATGCAGTTACTGAACATGATGATACTGACTAACTGAATCACAGTGAAAGTGAATGGTTGGTCTAGACATTTAGTAGTTGATGGAAAGCACCTTGTTTTTAAGACATCTAACCCCCTTGCCCCAGAGACCCCAGCTCAACAGGGATATTCAGTGAATGTATGGTGGTTTGGAACTGGCCACAGAGTCTGTTAATGTCTGCACTAACATTTCAACATGCCCTCTGAGCTTCTGCTCAGAGGTTGTGCTGTGATGAGTGTCCCTCTGGGCCCAGATGTGTGGTCTTATCCCTAGACTTTGTTGCTAGTGAGCCAAGCTCTCTGTTTAACCTTCCAGGGGCCTTGTGGGTGATGCTGAGCTCCGTGCTCAGAGATGAGGTGGTGTAGACGGAGCAGATCTGGGCTCCCGCGTGAACTGTGTGCATTTGTTGCTTTACAGATTGTGAGTCTGAGCTGGTTCTCGACACTGAGGTGACACCATATTGTCAAAGCCTAGCTCCCCTGAGTCGGGCAGTCTTCCTGATTTGGCCCTCAAACGCCTTATAGATTAACGGATCAATGAACACTGTGTGGTCCAGGCATCCACATCAGCTAATACCTTTTAACTCTGTACTGCTCGTGAAATTCCTTAGCCATCTCCAGGTTTCTCTTCTTGTGGACTGGACTAGGATTTTGCTCAGTATGTGATTCGCTATCAGTCTCTGTGCAAGTATATAATTACATTATCTTCTATACTAATATATTTTATCTAATAAAGTTAAATTAAAATATCATACATATAAGCCTTGAATATAAAAAGATGGTTTCTATAAGCCCCTCAAGAAAACTTGTCTCAGCGCCGAGTCCCACCTACTTTCTCTGCAGGGAAAATGAAGAAAGGACACCCACACTGAGTGGGCCCTTCAGACCTATCATCTCATTAAACATGACAGTAACACGGGGTAGGAGTATTAGGCTCATTTTAAAGATAACAAAAGGGTGGCGTCTGGGTGGCTCAGTCCTTTAAGCGTCTGTCTTCGGTTCAGGTCATGATCTCAGGGTCTTGGGATCAAGCCCCACATGAGGCTCCCTGCTCAGTGGGGGGCCTGCTTCTTCCTCTGCCTCTGCCCACCCCCCGCCCCCTGCTCATGCTCTCTCTCTCTCTCTCTCTCAAATAAACAAATAAAATCTGAAAAAAAAAATAATAAAGTTAACAAAAGCAAGTCCCAGAAATTAAAGATAACAAGTTTGAGTCTCACTTAAATGGCAAGAGAAGGAGTCTGTATTCCAGCCTTGGATGGTCGAGCTGCAGGTGCCTGTCATCGCCCCACCTTTTGACTGCAAAGTGTGCTCATTGTATGAGAGTGTTTATAGGTATATTTCCCAGAACACTGTTTTCCGCTGTTAATTATGATTGATTCTCTAACCCACTGTGGACCTCAGGTCCTGGATGGTTTGGGTGCTGCAACTTTGTGTGCCTGAAATGTCAGCTCTGTCCCTTTCCCTTGTGAGCTCGTACTCATCTTTAAGAGCCAGCTCGTATGTGGCCTTCGTTGGAAGCATTTTTTGAACCATACCCCATTTTTTCCCTTTACAGTTTTATTTCTTGAATTTCAAAAAGATAAGAGAAATCCTTACACATTTTAAGTAGTAGTGGACTAACACAAAGATTTATAAATAGCTGTCTACCCCCTACCTTCCTCCACTTCAGTCCCTTTATTAAGTAACACATTAAAAAATTTTTTTTAATTTCAAAAATATAATGACCATATATATACTCATCACCCGGCTTCATCAACTTTTAACATTTTGCCACATTTGTTTTGTCATTCTTCCTCTCTTTTCCCCTTAATATATAAAAATATTATTTGTATTCTGAAGCATTTGAGAGTGGGTTGCATAATTCATGCCTCTTTACACCTGAATAATTTAGTTGTATATTTTCTAAAACCAAGGCCATTAGTCATTGTTTCTCTTTAGTCTCAAGTTTGGAGCAGTTACCAGTCTTCATTATCTTTCTATAATATAATTCAAAGCTTTAAATATAATTAAAACATATTTAATATGTATATTACAAAAGGTTTATATGATACTTACTGTAACATTGCAATTGGTGTGTAATATCATCTCAAATGGTTGTTATATATAATACATATGTGTTAAAGAATCTGTAGCCCATGATTTATAAAACTTACATTTTCTAAACTTATTTATTTATATTTTATATTAAAATTTTATAATGTACAAGTACAAATAGTATAATTGTTGTATGTAAATACATGATATCAAAATATGTAAAACATAAAAATATAATATGTAAAATAAAAATAATATATGCATATGTGGTATATTATGTAAGTATAATAAGCATGTAATTATAATATATGCAGTATTACAATACATTAGATTATAGGAGTTATACTATATCTACTAAATCATGATACAATATAAATTAGGAGATATTAAAATATTTTTATATTTTAATGATATAAAATAATAATGTAGAATTGTATTTTATGCTTTAATAATATGAAATATATGGGGACGCCTGGGTGGCTCAGTTGGTTAAGCGGCTGCCTTCGGCCCAGGTCATGATCCCCACGTCCTGGGATCGAGTCCCGCATTGGGCTCCTTGCTCGGCGGGGAGCCTGCTTCTCCCTCTGCCTCTGTCTGCTGTGCTCGCTCGCTCTCTCTCCCTCTGTCTCTGACAAATAAATAAATAAAAAAAATCTTTAAAAAAAATAATATGAAATATATGTATTTGTGTATTTGATAGAGTGTTCCTTACCTTGGGTTTGTTTGATGTCTTCTCACGATTATATCCCAGCCAGGTTCTCCCTGGCTGGTATTTGACAAAAGTGGTATTGTGTCCCTCTCAGGGTATGACATGCAGAGACATGCCCCATCCATTTGCCCTTTATTGGTGAGGTCGACTTTGATTCCCCAGTTAAGGTGTAAAGCACTTTTCCCATAGTATAATTATTCTTTATACTTTTTTATTTAACAAGTAATTGTTTTGAAGGAAGTGTGTGGAAGCCCTACTAATACTCCATGCTTTATTAAACCTTTACACTCTAGATTTCGTATCCACTGGTATTTTGTGATGTCTCTCTGCTCATTCAGATCTTGCATCTTTTGGATGCAAAATGGCTATTTGCCAACTGCACTATTCCCTCCACATTCATTAACTGGCTTTTCCATGTAAGGAAGAGCTTTCTGTTCTCTCCCGTTCACTTGCTTACTGTATTTATGTGTGTACTTATATGTGCTTTCTTTATTCCATTCATCAATATCAGAATATGCTCATGGATGTCTGTTTTTTCCCAGTGGTTTGCTTTATCATTGTCCTTATTTATTTTGATGTTCAAATGGCCAGATATTCAGTCAGTAGGAGCCCCTTGTCACTGGCTTCTGTGTCCTTTTGAATATGTACCTGTCACTTTTCACACACTGTCTTACCTTCTAACATGATAAAATGATCTAAGTTCCTCTTGTATCTCCTTCGCCTCAGCCCTGGAACCAGCCATTTCTCCAGGAAGCCCACGTACTCTTTAGTGGAGGAATGGTTTGTGGTCTGTGTCAGGATGGCTCTTTGCTACTGGGCTATCTTGTTTTTAGGTTCTTTCGGTGACAGAACTAAGACACACACACACACACACACACACACACACACAGACATGTAAGCACATGTGCTCACATGGCAGTCATGAGTTCATACTCATTCCTCTTTTTACCAGGATTATTGTTTCCTAAACTTATTTTTTCCTGGTCCTCTATAAATATCCTCTGCTCCATTAGCACTCTGATGCCAAAGACTAGTGCAGTGTCTGGCCCTCAGTCCTTGCTCGAAAAGTATTTTTCAATAAACCAGCAGATGAATAAACCTTGATGATATAAATTGACCTTCTATAGGAGAAAGGTGAAAAAGGAAATTAAGCATGAAAATTCTTTTCCTTTCTATCCTCTTTTTCTCCTTCTATAAACTTATTGTTATATATATGATAACCAGAGGTGGTTACTCTTAAGTTGTCACATTTGAAGAACAGTATATTTTCTTATTTCATTGTATACTTTTCATTCATCTAAAATCGAATGCATTTCTGTAAGTTTTCTGAAAGCAATTTTCTGAGGTTTTTATTTTTTCAAACTTTCTAGGTGGCTGGAATTGTTGGCAGAGCTGATGTGTTAGCATGCCTGCTGTTTCTGTTGGCCTTTCTCTCCTACAATAGGTATGTATGGCTAAGAATGCCCTTCTCTGTGGTGACAATCACGCTCTCCCCTTGGGAATTTCTGTCTCGTGTGTGTGTGTGTGTGTGTGTGTGTGTGTGTGGACTTTGAGCATCTATCTGAGAAAGGAGGGAAGCTTCTTAGCAGCAAAATGCTGAGAGAGCTTTGTGGAGACCAGAATAGAACCCCCCCCACCCTTAGGAAATGCGGCGCTGCTGTCTCTTCCAGCCACATTCTGAACCTTGCCGTAGCCTTTGAAAGGAACTGCTCTCCCAGTGCTGGGAAGCTCTTGCTTCTTGATTATTCTTACTTGTCATTTCTTACTGAGAATGGAATTTGAAAGCTCCAGGCCAATAAATATTGGGTGTAGTCCTCTCTTTTATTTGGCCGTGATTTGTTTAATTCCTCTGTTTCATTTTGGTCCTAATTCTGTTTCCTCTTTATTATCCTCACTAAAGTAGCTCAGAGCTTAAAATAACAAGGCTGAATTGGAGGTAGTGTTTTTCATCTGTAGTTTTCAAATTTACACATCCTTTATCACAATACATTAAGTTCCTTGCTTTGGAATGTGGAAAAGCAATAAAATAATTTACCATTATATTGCCCTTACTCCGCACAGTGCTCAGATTCTCACTTGAGTTGTGACGTATCCACACAGGGAAAGGGGTGGGTCAAAAAGAAACTGGGAATGGGGCTGATGGCACAGGGGTTGGCCCAGAAAAAAAGGGCCAGTGAGTCATGTCACCATATTTCACAGAGGGATGGCTGGTTAGGGATTTGTGAATGTTGATCTTTGAATGAGTTCATTGGCTTGCCATCTTTGAGAGCCCAGTGGCCCTGAGCAGCACAATTCTGAACAAGTGGTTCTCCATGTGGGGCAGTTATGCTCTTCCCCTGCGGACATCTGGCAGTGTCTGGAGACACTTTGGCTTGTCATTAAGTAGAAAGGTGCTACCAGTGCTCGGTAAGTAGAGGCCAAGGGTCCTACAGTGTGCAGGACAACCCTTACAAAAAAGGGTCATTTTCCCCAAAATGCCAGTAGTCCGCATACTGAGAAACCCTGTTATAAAGACCTTGGATGACCAAAAATGAAATAATTCTTCCGAAATTTTGGCTTAACAAGTGGAGCGTTTTCTTGGTACAGGTTTCCCCCACTACCCGAGAGTAGAGCGTTTCTGTGAACACCTCTTGTAAGCTAAAATGGCCTCAAGTTGAAGAACAATCAATAGCTATTAATTGATATGGAAAAATTGGGGGCATTCCCAGACCACAAAAAGCAACTTCTCTTGGGCGTTTTCTGACACCTCAGGACACATCCCGCTAATGGATGCACGAGTAAATGGAGATAAAGCACAGGTGCTCAAAGACACAGCCCGACGCTGCGGCCCTGAGTGTGGCTCAGGGCATGGAGCTGATTGGCCGGGCCGGTTTGCTGTTTGTCCAGCGCCTCTCTAACGCTCTTGAACGGAACACTGTTTTTGCTTTTCACCTTCTTTTGTAAAAGCAAAAATCCTTTTTGGATTTCTTCCTGTTAGAGAAAATAGGTACTCATGTAGGTCTTTCATTAAAGTGAAGTGGGCCGTAACATGCACTTGTGAAGAGTGGGGGGTGCCTATCTAGTACTAGTCTCCGGGGCCTGGCTTTGTGACTTAACACTACATCGCCAGTCATCCGAAATGGTGGTGTGGAAAATCTTAAAAAGAGAAACCCAGATGTACCAATTACTTCTTTCCTGTGTACTCTGGTATTAGAACAAGATTAACAATTGCCTTTTAGTTTAAACTTAGTCTCTGGGGCCTTCTCTGTGTGGATAGTACATTCGGGAACATGGGGAGGCCAGCATCATGTCCATCTATCTCTGTGTGATGATGAGCCTCGGGATTACAGTTTCTGCTGTGCCTGCCATTCACAGTCTTAGCACCTGAAGCTATAGACCAGCTTCAGAGAAAAATGCATGTCCACCACACATCTGGCGTGTAATTTTAGGTCATTGTTCCAAGACACAAGAATACAGCTAAGGTGTCCTAACTACAGAAATATTGGCCTTTACTTTGGAGGAGTAGGGGTGATGGGTGTGGCACCTCCTGAAGGAACAGTGATGTTTTTTGGTGTTGGCTGATTCTATGTTGTAAGGTGAAAAAAGGCCTTTTGCAAATCCCTGCTGGAAATTATACTGAGGAAAAAAAAATTACCCAATGCATCCCCTTGGAAAATAAATTTTAAAATACCAATTAACCAGAAGAAAAGAAAAAGTCCAAAACATCTGTATTTTCATCGCAGAGAAAAATAAGGATTGTATTTTGGTATACATACCTGTGTCCACTGACTGATTTATGTACAGAAGCATATAAAACACTTTCACCAAAGTAGTAATAATGAGGATAACCACTTTGCGTGTACTAAGTCATTTATTTAATTCTGCCTACAACACGGGGATCCTGTTTCATACAGGAGGGAACTGAGGCACAGAGAGGCAGAGTAACTTGCCCCATAATATCCAGTTAGTTAGCTGCAAAACTGTGATTGAAACCCAGGGAACCTGGGCCAGAGTTGATGCATATGGCTTAGTAATCTGTATTATTCACTTAAAATATATTCACTTAAACATCGTTCATGCCACTAACTATATCTGTATGGTAGCATTTTAAGTGGTTTTTTAGTGTCCATTTATTATATGCCATATTTTACCATAATTTATATGCACCTTAATTTAAGTAACCAAGTTCAGTGTTGTTGGGCATTCGCTCTTTTTCATGTTTGTGATTTTAAATAATTCTGTGATGAATATTTGTGAAGAAATCTTTTTTCACCTGCTTACTTAGAATATAGTGAAATGATTGTTAAATCTTATTTTTAAGAGTTGATTTCTCAGTGACCCACATTTCTTCTTAGATTAAGAGTCTTGATCTTGTTTTCCAGGAGTGTGGACCAGCATCATGTTGGGGAATGTTTCCCTCCCACCACTTCTCCATTCTTCTTGCTGCTCAGTTTGTTTCTGGGGACCTGCGCGATGCTGGTCAAAGAGACAGGCATCACGGTGTTTGGAGTGTGCTTGGTTTACGATCTCTTTTCCCTGTCCCATAAGCAAGAGAAATCGTAAGTCATTTTAAAGTTTTCATACCAAGCAGTGCATGTGCAGAGAATTACTTAAATCAATCGCTTTCAAACTTTCAGTTAAGAAAAAAAAGTATAACATTTTGTTAAACGTAACCTCATCTTACATTATAAATTAATAAGGGTTGTTTTATTAAGATAAATGCGTTAGGTATGTTCAAACTCCTCACACTTTATAAAAATCAATGAGGGCTATAAGGATTTTGTGAGCCTCAAATTTGGAATTGGAAAGTATCTATGTTATGTTATGTTTATGTTGCTAAATTGTTTTGGTTGCATACTATTGAGAAATCCTACTCATAAAGAGGAGTGGTTGCAAATGGTAACTGTTTCTTAACAGCTTGCCTTGAATCCCTGAAGGAATAAATTGTCAGATTTATTCAGATGAAAAAACATTCAGATGAAAAAACACTGCTAAGTTGGGTCTGGTTACTTGTTCTATGGGTGATGCTGTTACCTAGGAGTTTTTGATGTCTTGTTTTGGAATTCCACAAAAGGCCAGTCTACACCATACAGGAGTACTCACATGTTATATTCAAATTAAAGGTCAAGTTTATTTAGTAGTCTGTTTTCACTTAACAAGTTTAAGCACATTCATTATATCCTGTGGACTATAGATGGCAAGAATGCTATGTCATATTAAAAGTTGAAGCACATACTATATTTTTCTCCCTCTGTCAACTCTATAATTACTAACAGTTTGCCATGCAGACCCCATTTTTCAGTAATTATAAGGCCCTTACTTTTGAAATTTTAAAAAACGTGGTTGATTTATTCTTCTGCTTCATCCCATGAAGAATTTTAGCTTAAAAAGAAAAAAATCCTGCCTTTTTATTCCATTCCCTAGCTCTTTATACTCCTTGACATAAAGATAAGAGCAGTGTTATTGAGTGGCAACAAGCTGAGATGAGTCATTAAATTCTGATCACCTTCCTGCCTGGGCGTGCTTAGAGATAATTTAAATAGACTTTAGTGCTCTATTGGCTCTCTGTAAATCTCAGAGGCGTGTAAAAGGAAGGAGCTCGGTTATCATTTTGACCTAAGTTCATGCCAAGAAAGCTGTGAGCCAGAGGACCTCCCCTTGGCTTCTGTGAGAATGCCTTGCCTCTCTATCCCCTCAGCCAATAGGAGGGATGGCGATGCTGGCCTTACTTTTTGCAGAATGACCTAGCAGCGCGTCCTGTTCACACTTCCTTCTCGCCTCCTCTGTAGCTGAGTCCTGAGCCCTTTCTGCTTTGCCTTGCTGATGGCAGGAGGATGTGACGACTGACTGCAGAGGCTCCCTTGTGGTCCAGTCCAGAGCCATGTGAACCTCATCCCTGAAGTCATGTCTGCTCTGGTCTTGGGACTCTGCAGCCCACCGTTGCCTCTGTACTGCTCTCTGCTTCATCTGGTCACTGTTGAGCCAGACATTTTTCAGACGGGATAATTGTCCTATTATTTCTTTAAGAATTGTTCCTGACCTATAGAATATTAAACCACTGGAAGTTCGTGGGGGGTGGGTGGTGGAGTGGCAATCATACCGCTGATATGTTGCTCAGAAGTTGCACAGCTTATAGTCCCTGCTTCATTTTTTGGTCACTTTTGGCTCTCAGAAGCAGTGGCTCTGCCTAAGGGGAGACATTCGTTCTTTCCTTCATCCTTTTTCCACCAATTCTACACATACTCATTCTGTGCCTGGCCAAGAACGAGAGAGATTTCTACCCTCCAGGGGCATACAAATAGTGGGGGGAGACAGACGTTGTATGAGTAATCACACGAGAAACTGATTACAGCTGCGCACAGCAGTCAGAACGGAGAGCATGTACCAGAGACCTGGCCAATAACGGTTAAGATCTCCTGAGTCCTGGCCACATGCCAGGTACTGTGCCACACCATTTATAGGCATGAAGTCACTTAATGCTCAGAATAACTGTTAGCCTCGTTTAGTAGAGGAGAAAACAGAATCACAGGAAGTGACCTCTCCAGAGTCACTGAATCCCAGGGGAGCCAGGATTTGGATCCCTGTCTGTGTGACTCCGGGAGCCACGGGCTTGCCCTGAGTACCTTTGCCTCTGTGGACAGAACACAGAGCAGGGACCTAGAGACCTCCTCTAGGACATCTGCTGCCCTAGGCCTGGGCTCACATTTGTACCATGAGATCAGCTCATACGTCCTGAGTGTAAGGGGGTCATGACCCTTTTGAAAATCTCACGGAACCGTGTCCCCTTTTCCCAGTATAATGTATATGTATGCAGTTTTGCGCAAACTCTTAGGGCTGTCTTTCCACTTTATCTGTTCATTTAGAATAAACATTTTGGCGTTAGGTTGTTCTCGAGGTCTTTTATCATATGATTCAGGCGGCAAGAAAAAAATAGTAATAAAAATGAATGTTGGAAGGCCTTCTACGTGAAGGACAATTTATTCCTAAATTTTAGGATTGGGCCACAGGAATGGAGTGGGATTTCTTTGATTTGACATCACTGTTAGGAAGAAATATTTTCAGTGAAAGATCAGCTCCTGAGAGTTAAGTTTCTTTGTACTTTTATTTCTTTTCTAAGAATTTGGATATCATTTCCAACATGCAGAGAATAACATTCCCTGACTCCAGTCCCTAACCTCTTTCTCTGAGAGTAACCACCATCCTGCATTCGTCACTTTCCATTTCTATGATTATTTATATGCCATTACTTAATAGGTATATATCAATGAGTATCAAATAGTGTATTTTTAACATATTTTCAAACTTTAAGTCAGTAGTATCACTTGCTTTTCATTTAACATTAGGACTTTGAGGTACATCGTGGGTATGTATAACTCTAGTACGTTCGGTTTAATTGTTGTACAGATTTAAATAGCACAATTTATTTATCTGCTTTTCTGGACTTGGAATTTAGGTTATTTGCACCATTTTTGCTATTGTAAACTATGCTGCAATGGATTTGTGTGTGTGTGTGTGTGTGTGTGTGTGCAAATACATGTGGGTTTCTCTCAGGCATAGAAGGGGAGTTACTGGAACCACAGATAGACGCATGTTCGCCGCATCCTCTACTAAAGCATTGCTCTTGAAACAATTGCAGCAATGTCTGAGAATCCCCTTGGCTTTGCTCCACATTTTGGGCCTCACTTGGTAGTGTCAGACGTTTTAATTTTTTTCCATTTGATGGTTGTGAATTCTATTTCAGAGGATTCATGAAAGAAAATATAACCAATGTACATTGGATGGATCAGCTATGAATGATATTTTACAAGATCATAATTATGTAAATCCCGAATACCACTTCAACCAAATATATTGAAAGAAATCTATCTGGAGGATGAGGGGTAAAGAAGAGGGTGTGTGAGAGTGTGTGTGTGTGTGTGTGTGTGTGTTTGCGTGTGTGTGTGTGTGTTTGCATGTGTATGTGTGTGTTGGCGACCGTGTAAGAGAGACTGAAACCTAGTATTCTATAGTAGTAAGTAAACCTAAGTTCTATTTAAAAAAACAATGTTATAATTGTGTTCTTTTAAAAACCTTGTGATATATACTGGAAACAAAAAACCTAAAAGTCTTGAGGATGATTGCTTCCAGGGAACGGGACTTGGGAGTGGGTCAGGGGACTGTTACTTCTTGTTGCAAGCCTTGTCATTCTGTTTGACTTTCTCTCCCCTCACTGCCATGTACACAATTAGAAGCAATGGGGTCATCCATCAGCGCAGCCCACAGCAGCCTGCGAGCCCTCAGCCCTCCTCGCTGCCTGTGCACCCTCACCGGGAGAATGGGAAGCAACAGCGATTTCCTCACCGAGGAGCTTTGGGTGGCTGCCACTCCCCATCGCCGCCAGAACCCAAGAGCAGTGGATTCCCAGTGTCTCCTCAAGCCGCGTGGTCCATAATGAGGTACTGACGGGGCTCCCCAGGGCCATATTCACGCTCCAGCACCACCTGGTGTAGCAGGGTTGGGCAGGTAAAGTACCCAGTAAAGTACCCAGTGAGTGTTTCATGACTCCCCCCTCTCTCTCCTCCTTTCCCTCCCTTCTCCTCCTCTTCATTCTTCTCTTTCCCTATATTAGATGAGGTAAGACAGCTGTCGCTGGAAGCAGCAAGTAGCTGCCCTGCTCTGGGCCTTGATTTGGAAGCACCGGGTGGGACACAATTGACTGTGTCCCTGGGGAAGAGCCTTGTGTGGCAGAGCAGGCACCCTGGGAGTGTGGGGGAGGCGCACGCACTAAGTTCCCCTGCTCCCTGCTCCCTCCTTCACCCCACTCTCTGGGTATGACAGGAGTTTATTACAGCACAACTGTGGGAGGAAGCCTAGGGACTCTGCTTCTCAGAAGTGTTTTTGGGGGTATAGCACAAGCTTTTCTAAAGCATGCAGTTTTCTTTTAAAAAATATTTTGACCCAGCAATGAAAATTAACAGAGATTCATCAGAACAGGTCCCCTCACTAAATTAGGTTGTGTCTAAAATAGTTCGAACCATGGGCAAGTCAGAATTTAATAAAGATGGAAACGAGATTCATCCTGTTAACATTTTACCACTTCAGATTCCAGTCCTTATTCCTCTGTGCGGTCCCAGAAAACTCTCATTTCAGGGTCTTGGTTTCCAGTTATTTCCACTTTCGTCTGTGTTTTTGGATTTTGCTTCATTTATTCATTCATTCTTTCACTAATCAACATAGCTACTGAACATCTGTCAAGTCTCAGGCACTGTTCTAGGCACCAGGGATGTCCTGGTAAATAAGGAGGACAAGATCTGAACTCTTGTGTAGCTTCCTTTCCAGTAGAAGAAGACAGACTCTAAATTACCAGCAAGGAATGAACGGTGTGATAGAGAGTGGTGGGAGGGCCTGGCCTGGCCAAATTGGGGTTGGTTGGTCGGGGAAGGCCTCCAGAATCCTTGTAATGACAGGAGGAGCTAGTCCTGCAAAGACCTGCCAAGATCTGGGCAGAAGGTTCCAGATGTGGGCTAATGAGCCACTGGGAGCTGGAAGAGGTGAGGTCAGGGAGTGGCCAGGCCCAGATAATGAAGGGCCCTGTTGGCCATAAAATTAAGTTTGGAATTTATTCTGGGTGGAGAAGGAAGACTTTAGAGGTTTCTTGTTTGTTTTAAGTGTGGAGAGAAATGATCACATTTCTTTTTTAAAATGTTCACTGGCTTCTTTGTAGTGCTTGATGTAAGGGGGCAAGAATAAAGCAGAGGAGGGTTTGGAGACTTTTATACAGACTGTGTGAACAAACAAGGTCTTGGCCAAGGGTGACAAGGACTGTGTTGGATTTGAGACATCTTTTGGATATAGGTCCTGCAGGACTTGCTGATGCTTGGGATGAAGGGGAGAGGTAAGAATAGTAAGGGAAAGGCAGGAAATGAGGATTTGGGGGTTTCTGGTTTCAACAGTTGGGTGGATGGTGGTACCAGTTACTGAGATGGAAAAGCTAGGGGAGAGTAGGTTTTCTGACAGTTGGGGGAGGATGAAATCCCAGAAATGTATGAAATTCCTGTGGAAGGAAAAAGAGAGATAAGAGAGAGTCCTATATCATTGGGGAAATCTTGACTTTTTTATGGAGGACCATGGAGGAAAAGAAGAGAATTTTAGGGAAATGGTAAATTTTTAACGAAAGGCCAAGGAGGAAGGGCACCTGGGTGGCTCAGTTGGTTAAGGGACTGCCTTTGACTCAGGTCATGATCCTGGAGTCTCAGGATCGAGTCCTGCATTGGGCTCCCTGTTCAGCGGGGAGTCTGCTTCTCCCTCTGAATCTCCCTCTCTCATTCTCTTTCTTTCAAATAAGTGAAATCTTAAAAAAAAAAAAAAAAAAGACAGGAAGAAAGGCCAAGGAGGAGAAAGAAGAGCAATTAATAGAATATTGGAGGCTTTCAAGGTGGCTTCAACATGTGACTCCCATGAAGAAAGGACCATATTAGACTTTACTCACATTCATATCCCCGTTACTTTCACAGTGTCTGGCTAATCATAGTTGCTCAGATATTTGTGAAATGACTAAATTAATGAATTGATGGGAAGAAAGTGTTGGAATTAATCACAGGAAGAACATTTTCAGTAAATTTGACAATGAAGGAATGCTGGAGGGGTGCCTGGGTGGTTCAGTCGGTTAAGTGTCTGACTCCTGGCTTCAGTTTCAGGGTCATGATCTCAGGGCCAAGAAATCAATCCCTGTGTTGGGCTCCACACTTGGTGGGGAGTCTGCTTCAGGATTCTCCCTCTCCCTCGCTCGCTTACTCTCAAATGAATAAATCAGTCTTTTAAATGGGCTTGCCCAGTCACGCTCAAATAAATGAAGGAATGGTGGAAAAGGATGTTATCTGGAGGTGTGTTAGGTTTTTGTTTTCATTCTTATTTTAAATCTGATGGATGTGTGTGTATGTGGGTAAGTTCTTGTTGTAAGCTTTGTCATTCTGTTTGACAAATTGTAGAGGAGAGATGGAAGACATGGCAGCAGAAAGGGATGGGATGAATTAGGAATACCAGGGGAATGCTGCATTTGCTGATTTCCTATAAATACTCCTACCATGGCTCATTTCAGGCTACAGATGTGACACTTGACCATGGCGTTGGGGGGAGATGTGTTAGAGCCCACCACTGTGCAGTATTTCCACTGCCTCATAGACCACAGAGTTAGTAGTAAAACAAAGTAAACCAATTAGGAAGTGATGAGCTTTGAGTGGTTATCACCTTTGCTTTTAATATGATTTTTAAAATTTTAAGTTTCATTTTCAGTAATGGCTGTACTTAATAACTGGTCTGCAGAATTCAAAAAAATTTAAAATCGTCATCTTCTGCAAGTCCAGGGTCCCAGGAGAGGACTTGGCTTAGGGGAGGAGGCAGGACACCTGTGTCATTTGATGTGGAGCTCACTTGTCTGTTGAACTCTCAGGTGGTAGAAAGATTCTTGCAATCGTTCTTAGACTGTCGATGAAGCACCTTTTGACTTGCTCTGATGGGGTTTGGGGCTAAACACATTGAATCAGATGACATTCTTTTGTAGGTTACATTTTTTTTTTTTTTTTAAAAAAACCCTGAACACCAGGGTATTATTTTAGAAACAATGGTATCTGAAGAGCAGTATATAGCACAGCTGAAACTGGGTCAGAGTTTTACTAAGTTACCATGTTTATGGGCAAAATGGACCATTTATTTTCCTTCCTTTGGAAAGTTGTCATAAATTTTCCCTCTTTTGAAAGGAAAGGTATTGTATTTTTGAGTATACATTTGATTAGTGTTAAAATTATTTTTGGAAAACGGTGCATGAACTTTTGGCAGAAGCTGGTCAGGTAAAGCAAATGAAAGTCCAAGAAGTTGTGCTGTCCTAGTTCCTAAGGTCTCGAGACCATGTTTAAGTCACGGCTCCTACAAAGACATGATCTCTGATCTCCTTCAACCTGTGTTTCCTCATCTGCAAATGGGGAAAGCAGTAGGAATAACCCTTTCCTCTCCACTTGGTTGTCAGGACTAAGAGCAATAGCACAGGTAAGATGCAGACCGATAGGAGCCAGGCACACAGGTGGCCGGTCAGCGCATGGCAGCCGGCCTTGTCTGGATTGCTAGTTTCATATTATAACTCTTTTCATTCCTGTGTGGGTTTCTGGACAGCAGGCTGCATCACGAAAATGGTGAACCTGCAGGGTGCAGGCAGGGCATGAGGCGTTTGTGTGGGATGGGTTTTCTTTTATGTTTTTTGATTGAACTTTGAGCCTGTTTGCTAGTACACATTTGTACTGCGTGGATGGCATCAGTCTGACAAAAAATTAGGCTGAACACTATGATGTAAACTGTTTTCAGAAGTTACTACACATAGGGGAAAATCCCAACCCAGAAAAAAAAAAAAAAAGACCCTACTACATTTATTCAGTTACCAGATTTTCTGCGTGAGTTGATGATTGACTCATGGGTAGCAAGTGCAATAAAAAACCTCACACTTAGGGTACATGCTCTGGAATCAGATAAGATTTCAGTTGATACTGTGTTTTACTGAATTACTCCATGTGAATTGAGGAATGTTTTGTATGTAAATATTCCTTCCCTTATCTTTATTATGTTAAATTCATTCACACGTGGGTACATTTTCCTTTTCACATTGGAAAGGTCAGTGAATTCTTATCTTCAGAACTCATAGCAACATTTATATATAACTATGTATAGTCAACTTTTCATGTGTATACTTGATTGATTTCATTTTTATTTTATTTTATTTTATTTTTTTTAAAGATTTTATTTATTTATTTGACAGAGAGATCACAAGTAGATGGAGAGGCAGGCAGAGAGAGAGAGAGAGAGAGGGAAGCAGGCTCCTTGCTGAGCAGAGAGCCCGATGCGGGACTCGATCCCAGGACCCTGGGATCATGACCTGAGCCGAAGGCAGCAGCTTAACCCACTGAGCCACCCAGGCTCCCTGATTTCATTTTTAAATGACAATGATCACACTAGGCATTGAAGAACAGTTCTTGGCTCAATAAGTTCTTCGTCATTTCCTCTTTTTTTCAGCTGGGTCTGTCAGGGGTCCTTCATTTAACACTATTTACTGAGCACCTACTATGTGCCCAATACCATTTTTGGTGTGAGGAATATGGTGGTCAAGCAAATTCAGCCCTGCCGTCATGGAACTTGTTTGGATGATGATCATGGTATTTTTACTTAAAATGAGCTCATTTTCTACCTTTGTGGGCAATGTAGTGGTTAGAATTTTTTCACTTCATTGGGTCTTAAAATTTGTTTTTCTTGTAAATACCTTACCCATAGGTATGCAAATCCAGAAACTAAGGTTTAGGACTGGAGAACAGTTTGACACTAAAGTGAATTTGTGAGGTAATTAAATTCAGGGGACTTAGGGAGGCCACATAAATATTTTGACCTTCACTTGCGGAATGGGTAACTGATTTCTGTA